TATACAAACTAATGATCTTTATGCCTAGCAGAGCTTAGTTTCTGGAAAAAAAGGTTTTTCATCGCATTTTTTGGACGTTTAGACAGTGTTGTGAGGCGTTCAAATTTGCCAAACCCGTCATCCAAATTGATGGAACACATTTATATGGAAAGTACAAAGGGAAATTGTTGGTGGCCACAACCCAAGATGGTAATAATGAATGTTTACCGATCGCATTTGCCATCGTAGAAGGCGAAACTTTGGAAGCATGGGATTATTTTCTCGTTAATATTCGTGCTCATGTGACTACGATGTCAAACATATGTTTAATATCCGATCGGCATCGAAGCATAATATCTGCTGTGGAAAATAACCCTACTTGGCAGCCGCCAAATGCGTATCACATATTCTGTATTCGTCATGTTGCAAGCAACTTCAATCAAAAGTTTCGAAATGAAGATTTGAAGCGGATGTTAAAGAATTTAGGTATACTCATTGACTGAATGCTTAATTATTTCTTTCCGTTATGACTGTCAATTTATGTTTAATTCGTTTATGTCCAATTTGTGCAGGTTATACTCCAGCAATGGTTGATTTTGAAAGGAATCTTGCGAGTTTCTGTGAAAGTAGTCCTCAAATTGCTGAGTGGATAGATGCGATTCCTAAGGAAAAGTGGTCGCGTGCCTACGATATTGAAGGACGGAGGTACGGTCATATGACAACAAATTTGGCTGAATTTGTCAATAGGGTTTTGAAGAGGGCCAGAAATATGCCTATAACAACATTGGTTAAGCATACATATAGTAGATTGGTTGCATATTTTGTTGAGAGAGGAACAAATGCTCTTGCACAACTTCAATCAGCTCATCGTCACTCCAAACATGTTGTTGAATTGGTCAAGAAGAACCAGGTAGATGCAACAGGCCACCACGTTCATGCATACAATGTTGAACATACTGTATTCGAGGTTGACGCAGGTTGGGAACGTTCATATTCTGTCAACCTCCCACAGAGATACTGTCAGTGTGGAAAGTTTAAGGCCTTTAAGTATCCATGTAGTCACGCTGTTGCTGCTGCGCTAAGTGTTAGGCAAAGTGCGTTCACTTACGTTGACGACGTCTTCTTGATAAATAACTTGGTCGAGGCTTATTCTTTTCCGTGGGAGCCAATCGGAAACGAGGAAGCAATACCTGAAATTAGTGGTGCAAAGATTATTCCTGATTGTACTATGTTGCGTGCAAAAGGTCGTCCAAAGTCAACTCGCATCCGCAACGAGATGGATGAAGTTGAGACAAGCCAGAGCCGTATCAGGTGTGGACTTTGCAAGGAACGCGGCCATAATCGTCGGCGATGTCCAAGTCATGGGAGAAACGAATGATTTGCATATTATGTTCATATTGTTGATGTTGGTTATGTTATTGCATGAATTGTAATGTCCGTTATGTTGGACTTTTTACTTTCCGTTTATGTATGTTTTTAAGCTTGAATTATTAATTAGTTGATGCTGTTAGTTACCGTAATATAAATCCGCAAAGAACGATAACCAAAACATAGTGAATAGTCCAAATAATATAATAATGTAGCGTCCACAATATAACAACATGCTACACTCATATGACCTATACAAAAGAACAAAATAATAACAATATGAAACAGTCCACAACATAATGAATAAACAAAATGTCAATGAAACTAGGACCACGGTGGCCATGGCCTATGTCGTGCATCCCTATCTGTCCCAGACTGGGTTACCCTGATGGTCCTGTGGAGGTGGAGTGTGGAAGTCATCCATCGCCGCACGGATGAAATCATCTGATGGTCCTGCACTGCTGCCCGGCACATCAAAAGGGGTGTGTCCCTGACTGTGAGAATCTGTGGCTAGAGTCTCCCCACTGTCATGGCTCTCTGCAACAAGGCCTACAGAGCGATACAACTCCATCGTGTCCTCTGCAGACCAAAAGGGGTAATCGGCATCAAGTCCCTGTGAATAGGGCTGGAAATCAGGCTGTGAGGATGCCAGATCCGCTCCTGCCACAGCCATCGGACTAGCCTGGAAAACTGGCTCCTGCCCGCTCATGTAAGGGTGCTCAGACGCCGCCTGACTAGGACTTGCCGCATACTGCGATCCGTGATGATAAATCGGCTGTGACCCGTAAGTAGGACCAAATGCTGGAAGTCTAAACCATCCCTGAGTCTCGACCACTGGTCTAGGTGCTATAATCGGGACAGGCTCGGCAGCAACTCTCTCACGTGTACGTCCTAATCCCCGTCCATCCTGTCTATTACGAGGAACATCCACGATCAACCGAGGATCAGGCTGAGTCTGCACGGGGGGTGCCTCAGGTCCAGGCTCATCAACTCGTGAACTCTCACGAAACATCCCAATAATTCGGCCTATCTCCTCGTGGATATACTGTAGTCCAAATCGAGGAAACTCCTCCGCCGTTGTTGCATGATACAGCATTTCAAGACCGTCAATCTGCATATTACGAAAAAATGTTAGTTGTAATTTGAAACAAATGTAAAATAAGTACAAAACTCACCATGCGCCCTATCTTTGCTGCCCTCCGTGATATGTAGCGTTTTCCCCTCTCTGAACCACTCCATGTACTCATGATTAGGTGACATCAAACCATATAATGGAGGTGGCAGTACAATATGTTGAATCCTAGTATTCCATCGATCAATGTGAGCCCTCAGCTTACGTCTCCAGTTCTCTTCAACCTTCCCCCGTAGAGTATGATCATGTATTCCTCTCAATTTTCTAGATTTTTCCGGGATGGGTTGATTAAGACCAAACTGTCGCATGCACCTATCCGATTGACATGCCTCAACTGTGTGGAAGTAGATAATAGGTGTGGGAGCTAGCCACAGATACTGCTGCTCTGGAGTCACGTCAAGCCACTCATATTCTATATACGGCTGCCACACCACCTACAAACAAAATGTGAAACAATATATAGAGTTACAAAAAAAAATAAACCCATAGACAAATAACAACACCGTAAGTATCTAACACCAAACCTCATCTCTACAGAGTGTGTCCAATGTTGCCCGATAATGGGTGACCTCATGAGGTTTAAACTTTTGTACAGCATTAAACCTGTCAATCAAAAACATTATCAACCATACATAATCGTCCAAAGTCAAGAAGTATACAGTTAGTACATACAGTATTAACCATACATTATCGAAATCAAATGAAGTAAATAAATCATACCGGCATCCATAATGTGTGCCCAGCTGTGGATGAGGAGGAAGGGGTGGAGCAATGGGTGGGAATCGTATCCATGCCCAAATTTGAAGGAGAATATGGCAACCACCCATGTCGCTTCGACGGGCATCTGTCACTTCACACAAATTCCTGACCAAGTGTGTCAAAACTGCAGATCCCCAGCTGAATCAGCCAATGTCCTCAAATCCTCCACCTAGCAACGGGACAAGCCGACAACCAAAATTGCTACCTCCAGACTTGTCCACCAGCAACCAAGTCCCCAACATCCGCGCAATGTGAGCTTTTGTGAAGTAGATCTCAGCAGCATGATTCCCTTCATGATCAGTCCACCGGGTATAATGTCGATCCAAGAATGAGATGCGGAGGTCGCCAGAATGATGGAACTCACCGGCCTCTGGAACATGTCCAAAAACACCAGCACAAGCAGCGTGCCAATCCTTAGAGGTCGATCCGATGACGACAGTACCGTCGGTCGGCAAGCCCAAGATGTCTGCCACATCTTGTAAGGTGATCGTCATCTCACTTTGGGTCATGTGAAAGGTATGTGTCTCTGGTCTCCACCTCTCGACCAGAGCACTAATTAAAAATGTATCTATCTGTGATAAATTACGCAGTTATCACGTGTTAACGAATTACATTATTTAATTACATAAATACAAAACGACATAAATAACATACCTGGATATGTTGCATCCTGGCAACATGTATGAAACCCGCCTGTCTGAGGTACTCTTCCACAACCTGTGGAATAGCACCGGTAGGTGGGCCCCCTTGTGGCTTCCCACGCCTCGTCTTAATCTTTCTTACATGCTCAGTATTCCACACACGCTGTGAAATATGACTTTTCTGCGTCCTCTGACGAAGGACCTCCCACTTGTAGGGTCCAGGTATGATCCACATGCTGGGATCGGTGGGCTCTACATCCGAATCAGATCCCGAAGAAGATGATGACTCAACCATTATCCTTAACTAACTACAAAGTTATGCACTCCCGCATTAATAACATCATACATACGAAATTTACAAAGTCTCTAACACTATTTATAAATCACTAATTAATATGCTAAACCCTAATATATAATTAAAAATCAGTAATAATAATAACTACGTAATAATAATATTACTATATCATTACAACATTCATAGCATGACACAAAATTTCTAAGTGACTATCCTAATGTTCCAAGTCTCTAATATACAATCAATCCTAACATGTATTACTAACTAGCACTGTAATTTAAATGTATACATATGAGGTATTATGACCTTACCTACGTTGGCAGAGCTTCGCTACGAACCGCGGTTAGAGAGAGGTTAGAGAGGTAAATGAGTAAGGAGTGAAAAAGGGAAAGTGGAGTATATATAGGTTGCACATGAGACGCCCCACTGGGGCGTCTTCTCTAGGAGAGAGACGCCTCACTGGGGCGTCACATGTGACGCTCAAAGAGGGCGTCTCATTGTGCAACAGATGTGTAATTTTTAACAAAACAGCATTAAATGTGTAATTATTTTAATTAATTACATTATTTTAATTTTTTTGCCCATACAATTTCAAAAATTTCCTCTCCATCAATTGGGCCAGTTTGCATTTTTAGAATTTATAATTTTTTTTATACAGAGTGCAGATAATGGTTCCCATATTAATTAATATCCCTATACTTGGCTAAAGGTGAAAATTTCCATCCTCGTGATTTTTAACCAAATAAGTTTTTTTTTTTTAATTGCATTGTCACAAAATAAACAAAAAGTTAAAAGAGAAAGCATACATAAACACAACCTAACTTATACAAATCTTTATACGAGAGAGAAACTATATACAACAACCAGGAAATTTACTATGGCATCCATCAAAGAATCACATACTTGGGAGTAAAATCAGTTATAACATCTAATATATATTCGTAAGACAAATGCCAGTACAACATACATCTGAGTTATCTCTTCTTTTACTAGCTCTATTTTTTATTTTCGCTGGTTAATAGGATGAGATATTATCTTAATACTACCAAGTATGGTGACTTATGAGCTACGGCATAAATTACAGGAAAACAAGTTACTGCTTTTGTTTCTTGTTTGCTGGCCCGGAAGAAGTCCCAACCTGCATAACACATTCGAGAATGAAACAAAAATAAATAGTCTAGAAAAACTGAAAAAGCATAAAAAAAATAACCTTTGAATTACTCCATTTAATTTCCCAAGATTTTCTCTCCTGCCATATAATATGCCGAAAATAAACCATAAGTAAACATATTAAAAGTTCTAGGGGACCTAAGTTTCTGCCAGCTAGTGGAGTTATCATTTTTTCACCTACCAGCAAGTAATTTATTAGTTATAACCTGCAAAAGAACTACGTTGGACCATGAATAAAGGTTTCCAGTGGTCCTAAAACTTCTACCAACCATCCATTGCATTGGATAGCAATATCTATTTCTCCTATATAATTAACAAATCAACATCAAAATGTTGTTTATATTTGGCAGGCAATCATATATATAGTAATTGATTACTCAGCATCGTCATTTCTTATAAGCGAATTGCCGCCATCCATAATTTAATGGAGTCATCTGCTTTTCCTTTCTCTTATTAACCCACAAACGATCAGACATCATCATAAACTCTTCAACTCAGAACAAACAAGTATTCATATAAGAAAAAAATAATATACTCTTGATAAACTATGATAACTTTAGGGTTAATTCACCAATTCATCATCATAATCACGATAAATATAAAAGAAATTCTTACAGCACTTAGTTGTTCGCTGATGTATGTCATGGATCTCAACATAGCCTCAAGTGTATCCCTTGTAAGCTGAAACTTCACCTCTGTTTCTCCTGATGTAGACTTGCTATAATCATGCAGCTATAGTAGAAAACAGATATTACAAGGATATCCTTCATAGTATAACAAATAATACAAAGCTATACCACAACAAAAGCAACACCAGCGGCACACTAGACACCTCTAGAACTCAGCATGAAATTTTTACAACACAGAATTGAAGGCTGAACCAAAACTTGAAGGAGATAAATTTTATACATGAACAACCAATATATGTACTAGTTGTCAAGATATGGAGATAGAAGCAATAATCTGCTCATTGTAGTTGTATTTAGCTTATTGATATTTAGTAATAATAAAATAAAAATAAAAAACTTTTCCTTATTACCTTAAGGCTGATTATAGCCACTCTATCTGCAGGGGATGAGCCACGAGTCTCCATGGTCCAAGTCATTGATTTAAGGCAAGGAAGGTTTTCCTATGATTTTATTTTATAAAAAGGAAAGAAATATAAAAAAAATAGCCGACAGGAAAATAAAAAAATAAAAGTCATCTCCTCAGACACAAAGTTTGTGTGTGTGAGTCCACATTACATCTTAAACCTGTACAAGAGAAAGTATCAGGCATATTTCATCAGTTATTACAACTAAGCACTGAATCTAGCCAACCAAAGCCAATGCTAAACTACATCTTCCATTTCATGATTCCTTATTAAACTAACTATACAGGATATTTAAACTGAATTATAATTTTCAATCCCCCTTTTATTTACCTTTCACATACTATTGCCATAAACTTCCCAACCTGGCTAGCACCCGGTTGGGATCTTTTAAAACTCTTCCTAGTTCCAGGCATGGTGCCAATTTATGCTGTTGAATGAAACTCACTATACAGAACATCAAACCATTTTTCATATACTCCCTTCAGCCTATACGCAATCATATAAACCTACTTCCACTAAGCATATAACTCTTTCAGAAAAGATTGAATAGTTTGAAATTGATGCTCTAGAAAAAATTAATAGTGGAAAGAGAATATATAAAAGAAAATGCAAAATTAATGATGTGATAGTTGACAACAGAAATAATAAGATAAAAATCAATGCTTCGGAAGTACCAAATTCTCAGATGGAGCAATATCACATTGGAATACACTAACATCAGCAAAATCATTGTGATTCATTGTGGCAAGAGAATCATCATCTTGGCGTGGCCACATAGAAGTTGACATATCTGAAGATGGAGGAACATCCGTTCCGACCTGATAGGAAACAGGTGTAATTGGCAACAAATCCTGAACACACATAAAAAGCAAAAATATGAGATGAAGGCTATGCAAAATAACCTTGAAATGTATCTTCTGAGCCAGTTTTAAGATCCGAACCGGATCAAAAGAACCAGTTTGAAAAACCGTTCATAACCGTTAGTTCGAAACCGGTTTGGAATCAGACCGGTTCAAAACCGGTTTGCATACCCGAATTGATTTTGAAACATGAACCAGTTTCAAACTGTTTTAAAACCGGTTCATGAAAAATAAAATCGAATTAAATAGGGTATGATTATTTGAATCCGTTAGATCAAAGCAGATGAACGGTATCATATATTTACAAATCGAAGTGGTTATATCAAAGCAATATCAATAACTATCAGATGATGTATCAAACTTACTTTTTGTTTGAAACCAGTGTTAAACGATCGTTTCCCATTAAGTAAACGGAAAAAGAATTCTCATGTTATAGGAAAGTTCTCTTCTCATGTCATGTCAATGAGAATTTGTTTTGCATGCAATAAATTTTTATTTTTATTTTATGTGTGGGCCCTACCGTGAATTTGAACGTGTAGGAAACTATACTCTTTTCCAATAACACGAGAAATGCATTGACATTAAATAAAACATTTAAATTCTTTGAACCGAACCGGTTTAAAGTGTTTGGTTAGGTTCAGGAAAAAGAACCCGGGTTCACCATCCACATCCTTAGAGGTGAGAACCCTAATAAAGGTTAAAATATTACAAACACGAAAAAAGTGTGACCTGTTCTCGTGATATATCCTCCTTCCATCGATCTTGATTTTTCTGGAACGACAATAAGAGAATGCTTTGAAGGTCGAGTGGAAGATCAGAAGGAAACAGTTTGAGAAGTTCATCGCCGCTGAAGTTTTGATAAACACATTTTCTGATTAGCCAGCGAAGGCATGCCACCACCTATTATGTAACACTGTCAGATTATTAATATACACAAATTCCACTTCCAAAAATTATTTAAAAATAAATAAATAAATAAATAAGAAGAAGAAGAGGCGCGTGGATTACAGGGTCGAGTTCGGAGAGTGAAGGGAGGTGGAGGAGAGACTGGAAATGAGACTTGTCATGGGAGCGAAGACCGGTTTTCCTTGTGTTCCAGAGTGTGCAGAGCACGCGCTCCAGGGTTTCCTCATTTTTTATGCACGACAATTTGTGTAGTTGCGGTTGAAGCTGCACCATACCGTCCTCCATTTTCGATTACTGCAAATTCTGAAGCTGTCTATGGCAATGGCCAAAATGTTGTTGACCGTGGTCGGTGGAGAAAGTATTTGACCCGAACTCTCTTTCGCCTTATGTTTCGCGGGTCGGGCATTGTTATCATTTTCTTTTTCTTTTTTTTTCTCTTTTAATTCACCGGATCAGATTTTTTTTTTAGCTAGCTGTGTAAAAATATTCAGTAAACAATGTTCCTGTTTAAAAAGAATAAGATATTGTTAAATAAAAATAGAAAAGACAAATTTAAAAAAAAAAAAAAAAACACAAAGTCATCTGACTTGGAATGTAATAAAAATTAAAAATAAAAGAAAGTTATACTTACAATCTATTGATTAGAGAAAATAGGTTATAAGTATAATATTTCTCTTAAAAATATTCTTTTACATTATTTATAATTAATTTATGAGTAAAAATTTTTTAAGTTTAGTTTATGTTAAGGCAAAATTATAAGAGTAAACAAATGTATGTATTTAGGATTTGAATTTGAGATCATTAATTAAATTGTAATAATTCTCCATCAATGAATTTGGATTAGTCAATGTCTCTTGGTGATCGAATACGATACAATTTATATGAATTAACGTAAATTGATGGAGTTTTCTCGGGCTAAAGGTAAGGAAGGAGAGTCAGTTAGCAACGTTGGAGGAGGATCAACTCCATTATGAGGCAAGTCGAGTAGAGGCATCAGATACAAGAACGCTAACAAAACAAAACCATCATACTGCCCCGGAATGGCAGAAACCAATATCTTATAAGTATGGGCGGAGCCACCTTATTCATTAAGTTAATGTCAACAAAAATTTAAGTAGGGCCTAATACTAAATTTTATTTAGAAACTTAGTCACGGTTATTTAGCCATGTTAAAAATGTGGTTAATTTTCAAATTTTAGCTCAGGCCTCACCTTATCTCTAAGTGGCTCTGCCACTGCTTACAAGGATACTCTACACTTCAATGGTGCTGGAGGTATGGATGACAGTGATGAAGAAAACTGGAAGGAAAGACAATGACAGGAAGAAGAAGAGGATGATGAGTCCGCCCCAAAAAAAACTCAAAAAGAGGATGCTCTTTGTCCCATCTACAATTTCTCGAAAGTTGCACATAAAGAGTGCTGCAAACAATAACGCATAGCGCTTATTGTTAAATTATTAGGGAAGAAGGTGGACACACATTTCCTCATTAACAGGCTGCTCAAACTATGGAATATATCTAGCAGGTATGAATTTATTGACATTGCAATGGATATCTTCACGTTCGATTCTCAAATGAGGCAGACTACAAACACGTGATGCAAGAGGAGCCATGGATTGTGCGCATCTCTACGTGATTGTGCGGAGACCTCTATTTGATTCCTATGGTGACAATTTCAAGCGATTGGCAGTATGGCTATACATATAAAAATCTACACCACTCATCATCTTTGGAATGCTGGAAATGTATTTGGACGTATACTAAAGATTGATGGCAACTCATTGAGGCGTGGAGAGATAGGAGACACAGACTTTACTGAAAGAGCCATATTTCTCAGATATGCGTCGAAGTTGACCTTCGAAAAGGATTCCTATCAAAATCCAAATTAGACAACAAAGTTTATCAAGTGAGTTACGAAGGTCTTCATCTAATTTGTTTCTCGTGAGGAAGGTATGCACATCGTAAGGATCAATGTTCCCTATAAAGGAATTATGAGTCTAGCACAACAAGTGTTGTCAGGGAAAAACACGTCAACGTTAACACGAGCCCAATAACCAAACACACCTTATACTCAAGCCCCCGTTGGCACAGAAACTAGCCTTTGGGAGCTGGCTGGATGACAGTATGGAAGCCCAAACGAGGACAAAAATCGAAATTGCTTGGATATATTAATGGTGAAGTAAATGCTAATAACCATGGGCCAACTAAGAACTCAAAACTTATACTAAATGTCATTATACAGAATAATCAGTTTGAAATTATTGACGAGAATGAAGACATAATTATTGCCAATTTCAATTATCATTATACATTAAAGATATATATAATTAAGATTATACATTAAAAATATTTTTTCAATATTTTGAAAAAAAATTAATTACTAAATTTTAAAAATACATGGAGGCAGGACTCGAAACCTTGCCCTCCATGGTGCTTCCACTATGTTGCTACACTCTTCACCAACTTGACTAAAGGAAGAGTTGGAACAAAATGTCACAACCCAATTTTATTGAATTCCACTAATTTTCCCAAAATTTTATTGAATTCCACCAATTTCCCCACACCCATGTTTTGGTTTAGGGCTTTCCCCTTTAACTTTTCACTTCTCTCTTCGTCTCACGTTCATTTGGGTGAAGCTTTCATTGAAGCACTCACTTCGTCTCTTTCATTTCGACAAAACACTGGACAACCACCATTACCCACCGCCAGTGAGCCACCATTTTCGTCAAAGTACCATTTTTCACTATCATTCCCCTACTCTATTATTCCTCTTCTTCTATATATCTTGAAATTTTTGTTTGGTCGAATTTATCTTCATATCTCTTTCTCTGAATGTAATGGGCTTCCTCATATCTCTTAAAATATATCTCTTTTTGTTTGCTAAAAATACCATCAATGTGTTTTTAAGTACCTTCCTTGCTTCAGTGTTGATTTGGTTGTTATGGATTCACTTGGTAAAATGGTATAAACAAGTCAACTTGTTATGTATTGGCAAAGTAGCTTATGAAATGTGACAACAAGAAATTGGATCAATTGGCATGGTCGTGCAAACATATAGTTATTTTATTATGGAAATTGACAATCCTTTGTGTCATTCTTGATGTTCCACTTACTGCTTAGACAAAGGATATCCTGGATGTGTTCACATGAGCATATGTTCTTATGGCTGTGCAAACTTGGTGTATGCTTGAGTGGTTGCAAAAGATATAGTCTGCCAGTGAGAATATTTAGGTGTAGGCTCATTGTGCCTTTTTCAAAACTTTTGATTGACTTGAATTTAAATGTATCATTCATGTTTTAAGAAGCTTTGGGAGGCATCAAATTGGAGAATAAAAAAATTGAAGGTATAACATTTGTCACAAAACCATAAGTGCAACCTATGTGATGGATTTGAAACATTTGCACAATGATAGAAATTTTGTGGTCGGTTATGGAAAATAAGTGCTCTTACAAATTATTTGCATATATTTGGGTGGAGTACATAGGTGTTTTTATATAAAATCTCATTTCTTTCTAGGTTAGACATGACTAAGGCATGCATCTGATGTATAGAAATTTTGTTACTAATTGAATATATTTCCCTTGGATCTAGAGGTCAGTTGTGCTCGGGGTTTACATTTACAGCGTAATAGTTCTTCTGAGATCAACAATGAGGTATATAAAGGTTACCAAAGAGGTAACACAGAAAGACAGGTCAATGAAATAGTTTCAGGTACTTATTGCCATTATGTTTTAATTTACATAAATATTTGGAAGGAAATACTTATTTTTATATTATTTTGGCAGCTTTTGATTTTCTAAATTAAAATAAGAATAGATTTAATGTTAGCATGTGGTACAACTCAACCTACAACAAGGGTGACACTGGATTTCATATTGCATTGTTGCGGATTCCTCGTTCTGTAAATCTGGTATATTCAAAAATTGTTTTAATTATTGTGTTATCCTTGTTGTTATCATTATAATGGATATAACATAATGTAAAATATATGGTTGTTATGGATTCTTACCTGCTCTTTAGAAACTTGGAATATGGTAGGTCATTGTAAGTGATAGAGCCACACATATAATTGACATAGTACATTCTGTAAATATAGTAGGTCATTGTAAGTGATAGAGCCACCCATATGCTGAAGGGTCGATTACAATTAGCAAGCATCGGAAAAAAATAGTAAGTATAGATTGTTTTCTAATTCAGTATTCAACAATTCGTACTTGCAACTAATGAATTAATGATTCTCATTTGTATTTTCAGGAGGCTTATGGGGAAGTGCCGCTGGAAAAGGTTGAATGGGCTACCTTCCAGCAGACGCATTCCCAGCAGTCTGCAGCTGGCCAGAGGCGGTGGTTAAACCTTAGAGCCACGTAAATAGCGGTTTGAGCATTTATTATTTGACGTTTGTTTTCCCTATGACGGTTTATGTCATATTTTACATGTCCACATGCGTGCTAGTTTTTCTTTACTTGTAGGAAAACTATCAAAAGCTTGAAGAGGAGAGGTCCACATAAGCGCCGACAGACGGTCAATCCAGCTCCTCCTATTCCAATAATGGGAGCATGTTAGTTATAGCTGCAGGTGGATCCAACAAGAAAGGAAGGGTGGTCGGGCTGGGAGGATATAGTAGCCGGCTGAAGCCTAGTAAGTGACCCTCTACCCACGTTGATCGTGTTTTTCCAGGTAAACTCAAGGTGTAACACTCCGTGTATACCCGGTTTGTTAACATGTCATCGTATTAAGTCACGCTTAATTAAAATGAGGAATAATTTTTTCTTTTATTTAATTATGACGTCGTTATCATTACCAAGTTGATTATTAAATCCTTTCAAAATAATGCTTGTATGTAATTGCAAAAGACAACTAACTGAAATACCTCATATATAAAATGTGTATCTACTCACGGATCTACAACACGTAGTCCGGAGAAAATCTTGATAGTTTATACATAGCTAGTCAAAGTAAACAAACATGAGCAATATAGCATGAACAATCTCCCTGCTCACCAAATAAGGCAACAAAGCCCAACAACAGTCTCAAATCAAATAACATGACAGTAAAGATAAAGCAATGTCAGCATCCAGCAAAATCATCATACTAGCGTGTAATCAGCTAAGCTCCGGCCTCCAGCCGCTAGAGGTCTCAACCCTCGCATTACCTGAACCTGAAAATTGTGCCCTAAACGTGAGGTGAGATCTCTAAACAGAAATCTCAGTAAGACAAGGGGTCCTCAAGGATCTTCCACCCCAAGCTCACTTACATGTGCAATATAAGTTCAAAAGCAGTTTAATAGTACAAGTTCCAAAAACCAGTGCAATGCAGCAGATAATCATGTTATGTGTGTCAAAACTATTCTACTGATCAGAGAATTGCAAGAATACGTCTATTACCCACACAATTTACGCCCATGCTGTACCCGCCCACAGGACCATCCCATGGCTTCCTGTCTAGGCGAAACACCACATACATATCATAAAACATATGTTCTTAACAACCCAATAACATTTCAATAAAATAGTACATGAAAACACATCATGCATATAAATCATCCCCCCATAGGACATGGTGGAACAACAATGGCTAAACCGAGAACACAAAAGCTTACCTTGCAAGCTAACAACCCAAACCAAGAGTCCAACCAAGAGCTCACACTAGCTCAAAAGGTCACATACAGCACAATCACAATCTGTTTATACAATAAATAATCATCAATAACCATCTACCAAAGTTACATTAAGTGATTAGGACTTTCCATCTCATTTTAAGTCATTTTAGGCAGTTTCTGCAGGAGGTATTTGAATACTCCCCGATGAGTATTCGAATACTCTATGTCTCCAGAAAGTATTCGATTACTTTCACAAAAGTATTCGAATACCACAAGGTATTCGAATATCAACACCTAAGTATTTGAATACTTCTTCAAGGTATCCAAATACTTTTCTTACCAGAAAGTATCCCAATACTCCAGCAAAAAGTATTCGAATACTAGAGAACAAGTATTCGAATACTACACGAAAAGTATTCGAATACTTCTCCAACAGAATGCAGAAATTCGAACAGACCTCTGCATAATCCCATTTTTAAGGGTCCAAACGTGATCTGGAGTCCAATGACTCCATAAACAGATGTTCATTAACATGTTACGAACTCATAAACACATTCCTTTATTTAAATGATCCAAGTTTTACTTTTTAACCGATTAAACTAGCTAAACTCATCAAAACACAAAGCTATGGTCATGGTATACCTCCAAGGCTCACAACTCCGAAAATGATACAGCAAGGAGGTCTCCAACTACACACCAAGGTTCTGAATTAGGCAAGATACGAATTTGACCATCAAGCTTGGTTCTGATTTGTGAAAATTCCCTCGCAAATGTTGCGACGAAAAATAAAAATATTCCCTCACAAATTATACGATGGAAACTTAATGCATTCCCTCGCAAAATTTGCAACGAAAATTTAACATATTCCCTTGCAAATTTTGCGAGGAAAATTACACCAGCAATTTTCATCGCAGTCTGCGACCAAAAAACACTATAGTCAGGTCTGTTGTTTGCTAGGGAAAATTTCTATGGCAATTTGCGAGGAATTTTGCGTATGACAAATTTTCCTCGCAAGATATTTGCGAGGAGGGTTTTAGCGATGCACTGTGTTCCCTCGCAAATTCTGTCGCAAATCATTTTGCGAGGGAATTTAATGCCGAAGCAGTGACCAATTGGCTAAACAGAAAGAAGAACGAAACAAGGATTGTGAGAAAATACTATTTCTCTTTTCTTAATTTAATCTAACCAAAAACAACCTCCTAACAATAGGGTTCTCCAAGCCTTAAATAAACAAAAATAAAATAACAAAAAAGTAAATAACTATAATTATGCACAATCAAAGGAGATAACGCACACTCTAAGATAACAAAAAGGAAATAACTAGCAATTATTAAAATTCCTTAAATAAAGAAATAAATTATGGAAAAACTCAATCCAAGTGAGTCACCCAGGTGCATCAAAATTTTGCTGTTTTGGGATTGTGCATTTTCTAGTAGTCATGTGACCTTGAGGACGTTGGGTTCAAAATTTCGAATGACCAAAATACACTTGAAGGAGGGGTAACTAATGGAGAGATTGGACAGTGGCTATGAATATAATAGCTGGAATAGTTTCCCTCAAAAACAGGATAACATACCATCTTCCCTGCTACAGCTTTGAACCCAAGCCTTTTTCTTCCTTCCAATCCTAAAATAATGTTGTTTTCTAACAAAATTTATTGAAAAAATATTAGACCCACAAAAATTATGTATTATTCAACTTTTAAGTTTAAATCAAATATTTAAAAGAAAAATGCTGGTAACATATTATTGAGCCTATGAGCATTTATCAAATAATAACAAATATATTAAAAAAGGCATTAATTTTTTTTTATTACAGCATTTATGAATAAAAAAAACTTTGTGAAGTTTTAAGTTTAAAGGTCAAGAATCATTCTTTTAAGCAATGAACAGTTTTTTTATTTTTATTAAATATAAAGTCAGAAATAATTTATTAAAAATAAATCAAACATAATAATTGTCAAAAAAAATTCTCCATCCCCATCCCCAATTAAAAAAAAGAAAATGATAATGGATAAGAACGAATAATAAAAAGAAAGAAAGATACTGAAACCAAACCTGATATTCATTCAATTCCCACGCCTAATTACTGCCAAGTGACAATAAACAATACTATGATATGACAGTATAATACGAACGTAACAGAAAAAAACAAAAACAAAAAAGCAATACAAACAGAAAAAAGAAAACCATCGTCGGAAGCTCCGCTCTCTCTGCGGCGGCAGGGGCCGTGCACGGCGGTGGTTCACTTTCTCCCCTCTCCTCACCTTGTAAGTCTTTCGGATCTATCGACGAACCAAAAAGCTTCCCTCCTCACTCTTCTTCGTGTTTAGAAGCACCTTATTTTTGTTCATTGCCTCTGAAAAATGTTAGGTTTTGAGCTCACAAACACTTGAGAATTCAATCTGGATCGGTCTCTCTTGTACTCCTGATTCTTCCCAACAAACATTACGTTTTTTTGATTTTGCCCAAACCGTTTCCTTTCCCGCTCCTTTTTTCTTTGACCTCACGATAAAGCCGAGACCCAAACGATTTTGTGTGTGTGTGTTATACTATATATGTTGTATTCACATGACAAAGAATATTGCATTTTCTTCTGATTCCAAGTGTAATAAGAAAAAGGAGAGGGTGTTTTTATCGTTTGCAAGTCTCTAGTAGGAATCATTAGTTGATAATTGCTTTATTAAGTTTACACGGTGATAGTTTATATATTCGTTTATTTATTGCTTTTCCTTTAGTTAAGGTTGTCGATGTGCTTTGTTGGATTATTTGTAGGTGTAGTTGATAGGGTTTTACTTCGGGGGTGTGAGTAAGATTGTGGCATCTTACTTGCGGTTTGTTGTTGATGATAAAATTTTATTTGTGTAAGGGTTTAGAGTGTCGTGTTAAATTTGTAAATATTCTTTCCCTTCTTCCTATATATTTGAAATTTTTTACATTTTGATTATTGATTTGATCGTGGACACTCATATTCTTTCCCCTCTCGCATCTTTGGCTGTTTGCCAGATTTTGCAGTGACCTCTTATGTATTTTGGAGTTCATGTAGGATTTAATCCTTGAACTTCAGCTGTTAACTTCTGTGATCTTGTGGTACAAACTTCAAATGATTTTCAAGAACTTGGATAAATTGGAAAGGTTCTTATTTTATTTTATTTTTTGTTTTTTGGAGTAGTATTAATTTTGGTCAAATGTGCTTGTTCAGAATTCCCCTTTATTATTAGTATCTTCCGGATCCTTGTTGGGGTTGCTTAGATGCTAGGGGAGATTATGAGAGATTTTTCGTGTTTGAAGCGGGGCATAAGATCATTTGTTTATTGAAAGAAATGCTTTGTCTGGTAAATGTCTGTTAGGTTATTCTTTAGAGATAACTTCCCTGTGTGCTATGCCGCCGGGTTATTAAGAGTATGTTTGGTTTACATCAGAATCGGTGAGATGCCAAAGAAATGATCATGACAAGTTGACAACCCACTCTGCTCCTTGGTGAAACATCTCTTTGGGGTATTTCTATCTTAACAAAATAAGGGAAGGCCATGATTCTCATGCTAGAGTTGGGACAGTCATTGGATAGGGAATATTTCTCTTAGAGGCATTTCTTTGCACTTTTTTAGTTTTTATTACATAATTTTCACCTCCAAATTTGTTACAATGTTTAGCATCCCAATATCTATTGGAAATTCCAAAATTTTCGTTTTTGGAATCTTAACTATAGAGAAACTTAAGAATTCCGAGCATTTGCTTTTGCTTTATTCTATCCATTACCGTTCTATACTGGATATGAGTCCCTGAACGCTTATCTTCTGGAATGTATCCTTGCTACTTTATCTTCCAAATTTCTATTCACTTTAAAGTAGACAAAATTTCTTCATGATAGACAGACCCCTTTGAAGATGCAATGCTCCTTTAAAAGTTAAGACTTTCATTTGAGTAGTGGCAGCAGTATTTAATAGGATCACTTTTGATGGTATGCTGTAGAATCATAGACCTTATAATGTTTCGTGGTGGTGTATTATTTTCGCCATTATTCGTTATATTTGGCTAGAGAAGAGTGCTTGTATTCTTTAGAAACCCAAGGAACAAAATATCATGTCATCTCACATTATACACTTGAAACGTATTGGTATGAGACACCATACTGAGAGATATTTTGACATTCATTCCACTGTATCTAAAATGCAGTGAAGTGTTGGTAATAATCACATGAAAATGCAGTGTTTTGTGCTGTATAACTAGGAACAGAGTTGAATAGAACAGGTTTGGAAACAAGACATCTAATTATGAAAATAAAGGTATGAAAATTTCAAGTGTTGGAGTTTCAAAATAAAATAAATTGGTAAAATCAAATGATGGTTGAGTAGAAAAAAGAGAAAAGATGGCATCTTTTCTTCTGGGCCCTTATTTTTACTAGCTATTGGGACCTCCTGATCTCTCATCTCTTTAGGGCTGATAGCAGCAGCAGCTCTTCTGTCTGACCCTCTCTATCATTTTCCTTTGCAACCTCTCCTTTGAGGCTGAGGGAGCAGTAATACTAAACAGCTTTTCAGTGGAAAATTGGAAGGGATCTGATAGAATTGGACCAGAGATTAGGGAATAACCAAGGAAAAAGATGAGATTTTTATTGATATGATCTCTCTTACCCCTGGATTAATGGAGAACCCAAGGTTAGGAAGAGAAAGAATAGTTACAAGCGGCTGATCCCTAGGAATTCGAGAGCTTGGTCTCACGCACATCCTCAACGGCCTTTACTCAATAATAATCTCTCCTCTGTGCCCTGTTTTTCCTTTTATCCTAACTACTGACTATTCAGAGAAATTTCGTCCAAAATCAGGTAATTTTAACCACTGTATTCAACAATATCACTTAATATTGAGTAACTCTACTACTATATCTAACAATATCAATGTAACTCTATCTCATGTATCTAATAATATTAATTAACTCTAATTCCTATTACTTACATGACCTGGCCAAACTAGATTATTGGGCCCATCCTTATTTCTTTCTCTTCTCACATTTACCTTCCTAATTGGGGGCCTGCTACTAACAGAATCTTATCTCTGTCTTTTCTGGTGCCTCTAGCTTGAACCAGCAATTCTAATATGTATCATGGATTTCAGCTTCTGTCTTTAGAATCAAAAGACTAGTTTTGGAGGTTTGTGCCTATTTGTTTTGATATGATGTACATTGGAAACTTTAAAAGGGAATCGGTCTAAGAGTGGAGTTAGAGAAATTTTTTTCTTCATCATCTTATGCTGAAGTTTAGATTGTTATTCTTATATCTTTTGGGGTTGTTTCTGTTTCTACATTTTTTTTGGTAGATCGTTTCTACATTTTTTGTCTGGTGGATGATGTTAGATCCATCTTTCTTTACCTTTGCCCAGTAAACATACGTGTCTTCTGCTATATGTGCATTTGATGTGGTTGCACACATGATATTAGATGCATTCCTCTTTACCTTCGCATCCTTAACATCATGTGCCGTCTGCTGTATGTGCATTTGTTGTGGTTGCAGACATGATGTTAGATGCGTCCCTCTTTAACTTTGCTAAACACCAAGCTTGGTTGCTAAATTGTTTGATTTACTGCTAATTGAAACCAACTGCTTCCTTCAAATCCTCTGCCTTCTTTAAATATTTATCATTACTTGGTATACTGTTAAAGACTTCTACTCAAAAATGCTAATAATATGAACAGGAACAACAATTTGATCTGAATAACTTCAGTTTCCTTATATATTGATCAAGACAAATTACAGAAGCTTTGAAACAAGCAATCTACAGTGATCATGGCAGGAAATTAAACGATTACAATAACTGAGAATTAACAAGCAAGAAAATAAAGATAGTGTGAAGCACATATGAGAGGCTTCACTCTCTCCCAATCCCCAAAGGGCCCAATCAATTCTTATCCGATACCCATCCATGCTTCCATCCTCTGCTTATAACGGCTTCCAAGCCACCCTTCTTTGTGCACCATTCTGTTAAGGGGTATTTTGGGAATCCCTTATCTGACGTGGCAATCCTTGCGTGTCCTCCTTCGGTGCTGTATTCAATTGGGCTGTTTGGGCCTGAGTCCACACTCTTCTATTGCTATCTCTTTTATATTTCTTGATGGGAATTGTATCAATACTCCCCCCCATTTGGAGAACCTTGTCCTCAAGGTTAAAATGTGGAAATTGCTGATTAATAACATGAAACTCCTCCCATGTATTTTCAAAATCTGGTAACTGCTTCCATTTAATTAACACTTGAAGGGACCCCTGTATTGACCGCCTAATGTCCACCAGTGCCACAGGCTCCACCACTAATTCCCAATCTTCCGTCAACATAGGGGGCAGGGGCTGAACAACAGTCCCAGGCTTCAGAGCCTTTTTTAATAAGCTCACATGGAATACTGGATGAACCTTACAATCCCTAGGTAAATGTAATCTGTAAGCAGCTGCCCCTATGCATTCCAAAACCTGATATGGGCCATAAAAACGGGGACTCAACTTTTCATTGATTTTCCAGGCAAGTGTTTTAAGACGATAAGGTTGGATTTTGAGATAAACCCAATCACCCACATCAAAATGAAGATCCCTACGCTGTTGGTCTGCATACTGTTTCATACGGTTTTGGGCTTTGAGCAAGTGTTGTTGCAAGTGTTGTAAAATATTATCCCTTTCCATTAACGATTGTGACACAACATCCACTGCTGGAATAAATGTGCCACACTTAAACAGAGTGGGAGGATCCCTTCCGTACAACCCCTTAAAAGGAGTCATGCCAGTAGCATCTTTAAACGTTGTGTTGTACCAGAATTCAGCCCAGGGCACCCACTTAGGCCATTGGTTGGGCCGTGTACAACATAAACAACGTAAATAGGCTTCTAAACATCGGTTCACGACCTCCGTCTGACCGTTGGTTTGTGGATGATATGCGGTGCTGTAGTGTAATTTGGTGCCTGCACTCTTAAATATTTCTGCCCAGAAATTACTCAAAAAAAGTCGATCTCGGTCAGACACAATAGTAGTAGGGAACCCATGGAGTTGTACTACTTCTTTAACAAATAAATCAGCAACCTGTTTTGCTGTGTATGGGTGCTTCAAAGTCAGAAAATGGGCATATTTCGTGAAACGGTCCACTACCACAAATACCGTATCAACTCCCAATGTTTTGGGCAAACCACCAACAAAATCTAACGAGATATCCTCCCAAACAGTAGAAGGGATTGGTAAGGGCTGGAGAAGCCCAGCTGGGCTTAAATTTTGGGCCTTACACTGTTGACATACACT